TCATACAGTCCCACCCCTCACCACCAATCAGCAGCAAGGGGCGGGACCACTGGGGCCCCTTGGCCAGAGGCATGGGTGGGGCTGCTATGCTTCACCTGCAAAAACAGCTGCCTGCCCAGGTATTGGCCCATGAAGTCGGTCGCCTCGACTTCAGTAGACCCATTTATTTCAACTACCCAAATGCTGACCTCGCCCCACGGTATTTATCAATGAGTAAGGGCTTGCCAGTCATAGTGCTCGATATCCTGACATACCCCTAGATCCACCGGCTCAGATATGGCGTCTTTGGGATAACGTTAGCCCTTCAGCCCAGCAGAGAATTTGCAGTCTTTGCATCCTCCTCCTGCAGATTTCCCTCCCGAGAGGCTCAGCAGAGACCTTCAAGCCACACCTTGCCCAGCATCTGATATACAAGCACACGTTTCCCTTAACATTCACCTTTACCCACATATCATTCTTAGGATGTTGCTACATGCCTGAAGTTGCCACATAGGCTACTGAGTTTCTTCTGATGAGCCTACAGGGACTAACCCTTTGCATCTACTTAGCTCCCACAGAAGAAAGACACTTGCTGAGTGAACACCAAGGCCTATTCCCACCTGGCAGACCACTCCTCTCTGCCTCAGGAAGATTGTCACATCAAAGCAGGACACTCTTGTTATGCATAGCCTCGCTTCCCAGGATTTCCTGTAGGCAGGTTTACCTTACGAGCTGACGTATTTTAATAAGCAGGATAGGCTGTTACTAGCCACTCACTGATTCCAGAGGGACTAATGACTCTACACACAGAAGAACGCTCACAGCTAGCCTGTCCCATGTTCAATAAACATCATGGTTATAAACTAAAGAGAAAATAGTAAAGCATCTAGGGGAGGGGTAGGCAACCCCCAGCACAGGTGCCAGAGTGTGGCACTCAAAAGACATTTGGCGCACGTGCCTCTGGGCGGATTGCAGGGAAGGGGCCGGGGCTACATCGCTACAACAAGGATCAGGCTCTTCATGGTTCCCCCACCATCCGCCCTTGGCATGCCAACATCTTACAAGTTGCAATTGTGGGTGCTTTTGGCACTCTGTCTAGAAATGTTACCGGCCCCTGATCTAAGGGCTAGAAGTCATATAAGCCATACAAGCAGAACATGCAGCATTATGCTTAAAGGATTCCATTTATCTGGAAAACTGAAGACCCCAAGGGCAATTAAGAAAGACCAATTTATTACCATACCAGCAGAGAACAGGGACAAGTTGCACACACGAGTTTGCTGTATGATGACAGCTTTCCTTAAATGACAAACACACCAGGAGCAAACCCATAGTGATCAGTGGGGGGGCTTCTTATGAAGCATGCTTCAGACGTCTACTTCCATCCTTCTTTCCCTTCTCCCCTCCCCACTATTCAGCACTCAGCGCAGAATGAACCTGCCAGGAATCAATTTGGGACCACAATGGGAGTTGTTATTTAGACAAGGAAACAGAGGATCGGTTTTAAACTCCATTAGGGCATACAAGCCAAGTTTAAAAACGCAAAAAAACAACTAAACTTAAGCATTTCCGAGATCGATGAAGACCACCCCTGTATAATAAAGCCACCAATTACCTAGTGCATTACGGTCCTCGTTTTCCCCTTCTGCATCTATCTAGCATGGGAGATATTCAAGCATCCAACTCCTGAGGTACGCTATTTCTTCTTTGCAACCACCGACCTCAGCTCAAACATTGCTTCATCACATTGGCGGGAAGCATGAAATGTAGAGGGGCCCAGGACACAGAACTTTATGTCCTGGCGTCAGCTCATGCATTTGTCAGGCAAAATGCAGTGATGGGCATGATATAAACATCAAGAAAGGAGACCACACGGGTCTGCATCAGACTGCTCCTGGCTTTACACCGAGTGAGATTAGACTAGTGCAGGGGCAGGCAAAGTCTGGATTCATCCTGTGGTGGACTAATTTCCCAGCAGCCTCTGCCCACGTTGCTGCAGCTGGTTTCCATGGCGACCCCAGGAGTGGTGGTGCCATGACAACACAGGGCCAGGGTTTCCATGGAGACTGGCCCCAGCCATGCTGGCAGCGTGTGCAGCAGGGCAGGCAGCTGCTCTGGGGCTGCGTTCTCGTGGCGGTGACAGTGGGGTCCGGAGCTGGGCCAGAGCTGCGCTCCGCTGCCCGCATGGATTGGGCAGGGGCATGCAGGCAGTGGACCATAGCTCTGCCCCTGCTCTGGACCACGCTGTCACCACTGCAAGATCCGAGCTCTGGCCCCGGAGCAGCTCCTTGCCCAGCTGTGCACCTCTCCAGCACTGCTGGGACCAGTCTCCGTGGAAATCCCGGGCCTATGCTGTTAGGATGCTTCTGCTACTGGGGTCTCCATGGAAACCTGCTGCAGCAGTGCGGGCAGGGGCTGCTGGGAATTGAAGTCCAGCTGCTGGCTAGATCTGCCATGTTGCCCACCCCTGGACTAGCGGGTCCCCTGTGTTTACAACTGATGCAGCCTGTGCGGAGATAGTAGTTGCGTGGCAACTGCAACACCCAAGGTGTACCCATAATTAAAGTTTCATTGCATCCCTTTCCCCTTCCTCCCATAATTGTATGAATGTTATAGCAGCAACGAATTACATAGACCTTGTTGTATCTAACAACTTCTGCTCTAAAGGGCAGCTTCTAAATAACCGAGCACTGATGACCAAATGAACTAGAGATCTGGATTTACTTTAACACTCTAATAGCAGATATTTATTCTCTTTCATTTCATTCTTCTTTTCTGTGTTTCCAAAGGAGAGCGAGCGAGCAGTGTTGTCATAGAAATATGATGCTAGATATAGAGAAATATCCTCCAACTCCAAAAAAAACCCTCCCTCTGCAGTCACCGGCAAGTAGCCTCTTGTCTAGAAGTAGTGTTAAGTCATTAAAGCTTTATATTTAACCTTTTGCATTTTGTTTTTCATTGGAGGGAGATTTCAGGAGCAGGGAAATACTGAGAACTGAAGGCCTTTTCTTTAGGATTTCAGAAATGCCACTACATCAAACAAGATGGGGACCAGGGGGGCAAACAGGATGTCCAGTATTCATCTTTTCAGTAAAGAGAGGCTAGGATAGGAAAGCAGCACAAGGAACAGGCTAGTAAATTTTCTTTTTAAGAGCATTACTACAATTGTGATTTAAAAAAAAAAAAAAGCATACTATTTCTCTCGCCTAAGAAAAGGGAAAAGAAAGTCATATCGATCAAAGTGCTGAGATGCCATAAGAAGGGGCTGAGATAGTGAGGCGGAAGAGCTGATGTTCAGAGTTACAAATCAGAAACTTCCTTACCTACCCCTAACAAAACATGGGGTGAGAAAAGAGACAAGTCTTCAATGTTGGCATCAGGAATTTCTTGAATATTAATGGATAGCTTCCTTTTCCCTGACTGCATGTCTAGATTTCCAGTAGGACCAGAACCAGAAATGCTGGGCACCGTGACAGAATTGCAGGGCAGTTCACCATGGGCCATTAGTGCCAGCTGGAGGAGTCAGCTCACAGAAAGGGCAGTTGTATTGTCCATGGATTGGAGGGGAGGGGTGCAGATCTACTACAAAAACATTTGTAAAACCCTTTGCCACTGCTATGGCTGTTGTGGGACAAGGATAACCATTGCTAACAATAAGTCAGTGTTTTCTATCAGAGATCAGCTACACAATTTCCCTTGCACGTACCAAAAGAAGAGGATTACTGGCTGCCTAGCACATCTTGATACAAGAGAAGGCCCTTACTATGGCCCTGCAACACCACATTATTCTAACACGCCTTCGACGGACGGAGAGAAGCAGACAAAGTAGTAAATTGTCGTCTGCAAGGTCACAAGGCAAGGCAGCAGTAGAATGAAAAGAAAACACAGAAATCAAAACTCTTCCCCCATGATAATGCATTTTTCTTACTAGAAAAGAGTCCTGGCACTTTTAGAGGATCTTGAAGGCTTCCCAATTATTCTGTTAACATGCATTTTAAATATGTCTCTTTTTCCTTGTCCACTGAAAACTCTGCAGGGAGTTCAGTGAAGCAATTAGGTGCTATACTTAGCTATGGGAATTGGTCACACAGTGTGATGTGTGATTAGATTGAACCTAGAATATGGTGTTTGGTTCAGAGCACCTCATTACTGACCAGATGCAGGCAAGGGGAAAGGAATTCAGAGGCACCTCTAATGATTTTAAAAGGTGGACCAGAGTGTTTCATAATGAAATATTAAGAGAACTAACTAGGTGTGGTTCACCTAAACCAATTGAATCACTGGTTACAATTATTTGGTGGGTTTAAGTACCAAGAGGATGGGGAGAGAGAAAACAAAAAGTGCTTTACAAGGTGCAAGAGGTTTTCAAGTAGGAGAAGTGGACTGAAGTTGATTACAATTTCGATCTAATATGTGCAAGCTTCCTATTTTAGTAGCCACCAGTGGGAAGTGAGGGATTTAAAAAAGCACCACAAGAAAACCCACTTGAAGGAAAGCAAAATCTGGAGTGGCTAGTGTTGGACTATACTATCTAACAGGTGGTCAGCATCTGTTAAGGGATTGAAAGCTTGAAAGGAAGTGAACTGTAGCCCAGGGTCCTGGCAGGATACAGCGCTTGACCAGTCCACATGCAAAATGAGACCTTTCATTTGTTGTCTGCACTCTCAGTACACTGTGCCACCCTGGGTCAAAACAGCCCGCTTTCCCCACCATTAAAGACAGGCTGTTAAGTATTTAAGTTACCAGTGTGGAACCTCTGAGAAAGAAATGCATGTCCATAATAAAAAAGACAAAAGCACGTTTGGCGCTATTGGGGGTGAAGGATTCCTGGAGAAGCAAGTCGGAAGTTTAACCATTCTAGACATGGAAGAAGTTGGCGCTGGGGGAAAGTTCACCTTGCATTGAAGCCGAGGTGTTCCCCTAAGGCTGGGATGCTTTTAAGTTGCAATGGGAACTTGCAAAAGACATCTTTGTACAAGCATCTCACCTTAACCATTGCTCTCTCTCTCTTCCTGCTCTAGTGCACTCCCAGAAACAGAACAGACAGACCTGCGTACGGAAGAGCCTTATATGCGCCTTCGCCATGGCCTTTATTATAAGCGTCATGCTGATTGCAGCCAATCAGATCCTCCGAAGCGGCATGGAGTAGCCACTCACCATAACACTGTGAACCAAACTAACCATGCATGCGCATGCCAACGGGTGAACTTTTTCCTCAATCAACTCTGAAAAGGGAAAGAAAAGAGGCGAGCAGGAAGATAAAGAAACACTGGACAAGGAACCCGAGGCCAGCAGTGTGATACGTCTCTTGGCAGGAACATAAAAGGGCTGTCTTAATGCTTTAATGGTTTTGTTTCCTAATGCAATAAAAATACAGGAGTCCTGAATTATTGCTTCGCAACGGCAAAGGTAACTTGGCGAAGGACGCACTTTCATCCAGAGTTACATATATTACAATTCTGAAGAGGCATGGCCTCCACAATCTTCGTGCGGCTGTCGAACCTCGGGGCCAGCAGACTCTATTCAAGTAGCTTTCCAGCGGTCCCACGTCCCCAGGGGCTTGACCATAGAGTAACTCCAAGCAAATACAAGTTGTTTTCTTTCACGTATTTTTGACTTCACTTTGCTTTCCCTTATGACCATGCCTTGAAGAGTACGGCATCAGAGGGGAGCCCAAAAGCTCTTGTACAGTATTTTCAGATGACAAAAGCATCACGCAGCTTTTATATTTTTGTTTCTGAAACCGCCTTTGACGCAAGACTAGGGGAGAGGGAAACACTGGTCCATTTACAACATTTTTCTGTTTCAAATCAGGACTTTAAAAACTCCCCCTGCTTTAGCACGTGGGCATTTTGAAAAGCTGTGCACAGTCTTCCTACTGCATCTGCAACCAGCAGCATCAAATTAAAGATTGTATTGGCTCCATCTGTGCCTCAGATGTCACTGACTTGCATCAGCCATTTCTTTGCCCTTGCTCTAATTTGGTCTTGTGCAACGTTATCCATCACTAAAAAACTTTCTGCTGTTGTTTCTCTCTCGCTTTTTTGAGCCCTGGCTCTGTTTGCATTCTTTGTTATGGGGATGTGACGTCTGGGGTCCCCCTCCCAGATGACTTTTGTAACAGTGGCAGCCCACTTCTTTGCTTCCTTAGTGTTTGCGTTCTTGATCACTTGGCTGCTTTGTCTCTTATCACGGGCAGTTTTAACCCTCCTCCCATACGCTCAAGGGATGGTAAGCTGAAAAGCAGAACGCAAACCAGAAGTGGAAGAGCTCAAACTCGAAAATACTGCCATATGTTACAGAGCGTGTCAGCCATTCAGATCCCCCGAATTACTCATTTTTCCTGGAAGAGATTTTAATGAACAGCACAAACAAGATCAGGGAGTTATGCAGACCAAAGGTACAACATGTACCAAGGAGCGTGTGACGACCACGCATGCTTGATGCCAGGATCACGTTTGGAATGGTATCTTTTGAAACGGGGCCCGATTCTCACATGTGGCCTTGAATGATCCCTGCATCATCCATGTGTGATTCATGGGAAAGGGAAGCATTTGCACTGCTGTCTTCAAAGGGGCCGTTTGGGTCTAACCCCGTGCAGGGCGAAGATAGACGGCGCAGGGTGCATTCCTTTGGACGGCGGAGAGTTGGGGCCTCAGGCGGCAGTAGCTAAGTGCTGCTAGGTGCATTGGCTCCTGTGATCTTAATGAGTACTGAGATCCTTAACGTGTAAAGTGTGGAGGATGGTTTCTTGTCTCAGGGGTACAACATCCCCCTCCCCCCAC